GCCCATAGCATGTGATTGACTTTGCAATATTATTTTTACATATGAAGATATTTAGAGAGGTGTTTATAAAATCTTTATATGAGCCATTAAATATATTCTTTATAATTTTATAATTATTATTCATACTTCCTATTTTTGGAAAAATCTTCCCTATAAGGTCGTTACAAATATTAAAATGAGTATCTTAGTCAGTAAATTCTGTTATTTCGTGTTTGTTATGTATAGGAAATTAAAAATGAATTGTTTAGGAATATATTGCAAATTATTTTATTTTTAAATATAAAATGAATGTATATTTTAAAAAAATAAAATTACAGATAATGAATCATTAGAGAACAAAATCGGTAAATAATTTTCGAATTTTATATTTTTATATTATATGTAATCTCATAGCCGATTACATTATCCATTTTACTGAATACACACATCTACTTTTCCCTATCCCAATAATAATAATATTTGTAGGCCCTTAAATCATAAAATTAAAGCATTAATAAAAATATATAAAGTATAACCTTCTAATTTAAAGTGAATCACAAAAGCAGGCAATAAATGGCCACACTATAAATCTTTTACCACAAAATGCAATAATTCTATATATTATTTCACAGATGTTTACGCGTCTTCTAATAAGATACTTAACGCTCTTTTATATGATACTGGTAATCAACCCTCTTTAGATGTGTTTTGGAGTTTTCCTGATTTGAAGAGTAGCTTAATGATTAAAGGCTTCCGTATCGAACTGTTACCTACTCGCCCAGACATGATTGAACATCGAAAACTAGAATTTGTGAATGTAAATCTTATATCTATACGAAAAAATTTTTTTTTAAAAAAAATACAAAATGGCAATATATTATCTATTTGAAAGATTAACGAAAAGCGAGTTATGAATAGAAAATAATGTAAAATCGATTAAGTAAAATTGCAAATTATTCCATTTATTTTATAGGATTTTCTGACTCTACCAAAAAGTCCATAATTTTAAGTGACAATTCTTTAATCTTCTATTAGCACTAATTTTTTTTTGGATATATTTTACAAATAAATCGTAGAAATATATATTTTTTATTATTTTTATTAAAGGCTCCTATGAGTTTAATTCATTTCATGTTTGACAATGTTACTACAAATCTCGAGTACCAGATAAAGATAATCATTCAATTTGAGAGCGGTAGACCGAAATATCTTGATGAGGATATAAGCATTAAAGCCTTCATATTCATTCATAACGTTCCTCGATGAATATTATGAATGAATAAAAAATTGGATGTATTTTATCTTTCTATCTTCTTTTTTTTATATGGAAATAGCATATTTTTTCAATTATTTTATTATGGTATATAAGGGATTTTCTTACTATTAAATTTCTATTATTACTTTATTTACAACTTTACACTTATATATTATAAAGAAAATGTTATTTTTATTTTAAAATTAGTTTATTAAATAAATGATTTTCCAGCATTACTGATTTGATAAACCTTTCTTTTTTTTAATGTTGCAATTTTCAAGGAGAACTATATCCTAACTCTTAAAGTCATTTGTTCATTTTTTTTCTGATATAATTTTAAACAATTTTTTTAATATTAATAGCTTTTGATAAAAACAACATAATGACTACAAATTAATAAATATTTATTATAGAATGCGAATGTGAATATTATAAAAAATTAGAATAAGGAAAATATAGTAATTTCCTAAAATCTTTTTGTATAGGTGTAATGCTGAAATTTTTTTTAAATTAGATGCTTAAATAATTGAAAGAATGGCGATAATTAAATTTTATAATAGCGAGCTTGGGTTAAAATTATTTTATAAATAATGGGCGGACGGGCGGGTAAGGTTTTTAAACTAATGAGTGGGCGGGCTTATGGTCAAGTCCAATGCAGACCTCTAATTCAACTGTCCACATGTAACATATATATTTTTTTAACTTATGCATCTTGTATGTATATTCTTATATAGTATATTTATTTATTTAACAAGGAGAAAGTTAATATGCCAAATTAACCACCATAGCAACAAGAAATATATTAAATTTGTTTGATTTACTGTTTTGCCGCTATACACAAACATATAGTCTTGTAAAACAGATATTTGAGCCGATTTTTTAAAACGACTAACTCAATGTTTTATTCAGAAAAATATTATGCAAGCCTAAAGATGGTGCTCATGGATGACACAAAGGGTTTGGACATCTATTAACGAATGAGACTTGAACAATATTTTCCTGTATAAAATATTGAGTTAGCCGTTTTTAATAATCGACTCCTATCGAGCTGTTTAACACTATGAATATACATGATTGATTTTTTATATATACAAAAAAGACGATATGAGATACATATAATCACATTATCTTTAAAAAAAAACATTGTGCTTTTACTTTGTAATTTTTTCTTTTTTATCATATACAAAATTACTTTTTTAGTATTATATTATTATTATCCAATTTCAGAATAAATAGTGAGCTAATTCCATCACTCTTTAACCCAATCCTGACCACATAAAGGTGGTCCATCCATCCCCATCTAATACAAAAAATTTGTATTATTTAATATCACATATAAACATTTAACCTTAGATATGATAACTTTCCTAACGACTGTGATCATAAGAGAATAATTTCCTGGAACATATTCAATGTTTGCACAATTAGCGAGCCTTTCCATAGGAGATCCAACATCAACGAAAAATTATTAATATAATCGTGGCTTTAAACTATACGGTTTCTGTATAATATCTTTTTCTTGTTGTTGTTGATGATGTTGACAGCCCCTCTATAGTGCTTCCTTGCCATTTAGATGCATCGTCTCTTCTCCACAAATTTTTCTTTGTACAGATTTTATTAAGTGTAACTTCCAACGATTGACATTTCTATATCGCCAGTAATGTTCAAATCCTTCTTAGATTTTATTAACGACAGTCAATCATTAAGTGTATCGCAATATATCTCGTATTCAGCACAGAACCACACTCTTCAAACCGATCTAAAAATTCTCTGGATGACTACATTCTATCTGGTTTGGAATTAAAAAGTTCAAATATTCTAGTAATCATATCCTTTTCAACCTTTTATTTTGAAAAAAATCTTTCATTTGCTGATAGGATAAATTATATCAATTGTCCATATTACTAACCGCCATATCTTTATCAATCTTTTTGAAAATTTTTTATTCATCCACAATATTTTCAGCTAATTAAGGTCCAAAGCCTTTAAAATCACTATTATTTTGAAGCAATTTATATATCCACCATGATGGGATTAGGCTAACTATTTATTGGACAAAATTAGATAATAATAATATATAAAGGTAATTTTGTAAATGATAGAAAATTTTAAAGTGAAATCAAAAAGATATTAAAAACTATGCTTTTTAATAATCATATCGTCTATATTAATATATTAATATAACAAAGTTAATGCCCGCCCAGAAATATTGGAAAATGTTTTCATGTATTGCTTAATCATCCTTAGAAAGAGAGTGAAGAACATACTGGACTCATTCCTTACCAGCTTGCACTAAACTGGTGCTCCTATTATCCACTATGTAGAAATTTAAAATCGAATTAGACAAAATTAAATTTAAAGTAAATTAAAATCGTATTTTTAATGTGGATATTCTGATAATAAATTTACCAGTTGATTAAAGATGATATGCCCGATGTTTCGAGTGAAGATGATGATCATCATTTAAAAATTTATTAAATAGTATTAATTTTCAGTTATCACAATGTACTAAGGATGATATGACAGATTTTTCTAGTGAAGAATTTGATAAAGATATCGTTGTTTTACATTTTTGTGATAATTCAATGAAACATATCGACGTTTGAAAACCCATCCATCCAATATAAAATATTTTGTTTTCAAAGATAATTAAAATAACACAAAGAGGAATAAAAGAATTTTCAATAATGCTTTGGGTATATTTAAATTATTTTTGCCACAATAATTTTTCTATGGATGGGTTTTAATTTAATCGTCAATATGTTTCATTAAATCATCACAACACTGTATTATACATATGGTAAAGGGGCTTTGAAAAAAAAATTGGTATTGTTTCCAATAAACATATGATTTTAATTATGGAGATATAGAATCGGTGATACATCTCTGTACAAGTGAGTTACGTTGAGAGAAGTATAGAGAATGCATAAAATAATATTTGTTTTCCGTGGGAGAAAGGTAATGAGGAGACAAAATAAATGTTTTATATAGAGAGAAAGATCGGACAGCAATTAAATGTATTCATAACGAGACAAAGAAGCCACCGTAACACAAGGAAGGCGTACCACTGAGTTAATACTTTAGCACAAAATATGGAGGAAGGGAAGAAGGAGGCTCTAATCGGGATTGGAATCTTCGAGATTCTAGATTATGGGATTTTAGGTTCTGGTTTTAGAACGAAAAATAAAATTTTAGAATTTAAGATAATTTATTCAAGAATTTGTTTTATCATAAAATATTTTTTTAAATACATTTGTTCTAAGTTGTAGTAAAATGTATGAACAACCTTAAGGAATTTTAGGTTCTAGTTCTTATTTTTTTTAAAGGATTTAAATAGTTCTGCAATTGGCTTTTCTAAAGTTCAGGTTTCAATTTTTATAACTAATTCTAATTGTCACGAGAAATAGAAAGTATTTTATTTTGGGTTTCATGTTACTTCCATTAAAATCTAAATAAATAAAGAAAGGAAGGAAGGAAGGAAGGAAGGAAGGAAGGAAGGAAGGAAGGAAGGAAGGAAGGAAGGAAGGAAGGAAGGAAGGAAGGAAGTGTTACCAATCCTTATATATAGGATTGATATTTATTTGTCGAGGCTAGTGGGAGAGACTTAATACAATTAAAGAATCTAGTAATAAATAAAATTAATATATAAATATTTAATAATTTGGTTAATAATCTTACTAATGTTACAATTCCTTATATGACTTGTAATCAACTTATCGAAGGTTCGTAGGAGAGAATTCAAGGGAACAACTCTAAATTTCTTCAATTCAAAAAAAACTATGTACTGATTTTATTTTAAAATATTTTCATTTAGATACATCTTTTTAATATGCAAATATTACAAGTATATTGAACATTCATTAAAAATAATAAAAATTACCAGTATTCATAAACATAATTAAAAATTACCAGTCTATAAAAAACATAATTTTCTTTTTTACATATTCAAATTAATATATAACCCTCGTCGATTTATAATAAAAATTCATAAATTATAAAATATATGTATACGAATACAAAAGGAGGGAAGGAAGGAAGAATACTATCCCACTTGAAACGTTATACAAAAATGTTCTTAGCTTTATTTATATTCTCTAAAATATATTTGTGTTTATAAAATTAAATTAAATTAATATTATAAAATGAAAATAATATTTACAAAAAAAGCGATATAAAAAAATAAATTTTAAATATATAATATAATACATCATATATTAAAATATATACTATTTTTATTAGTTAAAAGTATAGCGATAGTCTAATAGATATGAATTATTTTTGAATCCATTGGGAGTGAAGTTCCTGAGCTAAAATTTCCATTTGATTCAGGGTGATATTAGCGTCGACAATCTTAATTTATAATAACAAAAAAAAATTGGAAGTCTTCATAATGTCAAAAAAGACGTTTGTATATTTTTTTCAGCAGTTGTTAGAACCTCCTACCTAATTTTATAGCTGTCCATTTGACTTAGGAAGACTGGAAAAAAATTCCCAACGATAGCTTAGCTACTCTAGTCAAAATTATGACTGGAAAAATACAACTAAAAAAACAAAAGTATAAAATTAATTTGAACAATATTGTTTTTTTAAATAATGCTTTAATATTATTTCCCTATTTGATATTAAAAAAAAGCTTATTTGTCGGAAATATCCTTCTAGCTGATAAAAGAAATATATATATATACATAAACCTAGCAATAACTGTATCTAGAAAAACCTATGCAACTATGAGTTAGGATTTACACATATCTCTTACAATATTCTTCTACACTGCAAAAAGTAATTAAATCGTCGCCATATTATATTAAATAAATGCTTCACTTATATCTTTATTTAAAAAAAATACAAAGTTGAAAATAAAAATTTTCGATTATTTAATCTTTTTTGTATATTTAGTGTTGCTAAATCACCTAACTTTGACCAATTCCAAAATGACTCTGGCAAGTTTTTATCCTTTCCAATATTTAAGTTCAGGTTCAAGTTAGAGGTTTCAGTCTATTTTTTAGGTTGAAAGCTTAGCTAAGCTTTCTTGGAATTGGCTAAAGTTATGGGACATAACAACACTAGGATATTAAAATATAAGTTAAATGTAAATGGATTAAAAAAAAAAATTGTTATTATGACTTACCAATATTGGAATATCAAAATTTGGAACAACCGTTCTATGATATAGCCAATCTTCGTGATATCTGTGTAAATCGTTCATAAACTCCTGTTTAACGTAAATTATTATATATATATATATATTGAACATATTATTTTTAGAAAATATTAAGTAAAGTAATAAAAGTTTTAATGGAATATTTAAATGGTCCATAAAATCCGGGTGCAATTTTTAGCTAAATTTGGGAAAGTCCTTATATATTATTAATAAAGAATTAATAGATTTTATTATTAATGAGTTTAATCGTCATTAAGTAATTGGATTGAAACCTTCATCAGCGGCCGCTATAACGGGTTGGGGGTGGGGAGGTCCGAAGCAACCGCTTCATAAAATTTGAAGGATATTATTCATGACTAGGATTCGATTATTCTATCTTATTGGTTTACTTTAAACTTTTATCTACTTTCCTTTAATTTATCACATTTTTTTATATAAATATTCATTAACCATTCCTAACTACCTCATGATGTATTACTATTGCCGATGTCAAAAAAGATAATTTACCGTTTTATTTTCGGAAGGGGCGGGAGAGAGGGTGGTACTTTTCAGAGGGGTTATTCTGCTTCCATCGCTTCAGAATGTGTAGGGGAGGGGGCACTAATCTTCATAGCTGGCTCAAGGGTGTTCACATTTATTTTTTTTTAGTCAACATAGGAATCGCGGTAAATATAAAGAATTTATTTTGATAAACATTTTATAATTTCACGCAAAAGGGGAAAGGACCCAATCTAAAGTGGGCAAGTTCAGTTCTTTGTTGGTAAGAGAATAAATTTGATTATTAGTATTGTTGAATGGCCCAATTTTTATGAATATAAACTCAATATTTTAGCCAAAAAAAAAATGTTATGCAAGTCTTAAAATTTCGTTAGAAGTCCAAACCAGAGACACGAAGGCCCGGCCTTAAGCCCGGCCGGATTTAGGGCCGAGCTGGACCGGACCCGGGCCCGGCCGTGCAAATAGTACCTCTGCAGGCCTCTGGGTCCAAACCTTTCTACCATCCATAAACAAATTCTCCAAGTTTGCCATATAAATCGAGCCGTTATAACAACACTATTTTTCGATATTAAAAAAAATATATAATATATATATATAAAGGGAACGACAAACTTTATTAACACCCATTTCTTCCGGTCTTCCTCGCTTCGTCATTCTTTGATAACCAATTTCTGGATCGAGTCTTAAATATACTTTTAGATATTGATAAAATTTAACGATTAATTTAAAAAATAAAAAAAAAGGGGTTAGGGCTGTTCCCTGTGGACTTAATTGTTTTTTTTAAATATAAGGTTAAAAAGCTATTGTTTTTTTTTTCGTATTTAATTCTCGTTCATTGTTGTTTTATTCGTTTTTTATTTTTTGCACATTTTTGGTTATTTTATTAATAAGTCGAACCTAGGACACGGCCTATGTTCTCATTTTCGAATGATTATATTTCTTAATGAGAACTTAAAAGCTTTGGATATATACTCTAAGCTAATTGTCTACCAGGGGCCGTGCTTAGAATTTTTTCACCTTGCTAGACGCGAAAATTATCTTTGTAGTTGTTATTTTTAATGTTAAATATCAGAATAAAAAAAATCTAATTCAAGTACCTCCATCCATACTAGGTTGATGTTAATATAATGGTCTGGCTCAGGCTGACCGCTTAACAAAGGTAATATTAGTGATCTGCATTAGGCCTAATTTTTTAAGCCTGGCCCTGCCCGAAATTTTTTTTTGAAAAGTTTTGTCAGCCCGACTCGGGCCCTAATTTATTAAAATATAGAAATTAATTTTTTTTATAATTTACTCAAAATAAAAAGATATATTTTACATATGGCGTCTTAAATTCTATAAATAAAATCGACTATTTTATATTTAAATAAAAAAAAAATTAAACATTAAAATTGATAAATTTCGATATATATAAAAAAAAATTCTAAGACCCGACCCGGCCTGAATTTTTTAAAAAAAAAAATAGGTCCGACCCTACTTTTGCAGATCTTTAGGTAATATATTGGCTTTAAATTTAACAATATTCTTAGCAACAATTCTTAAGAACAGATATAATATTCTACAGGATCCAAGAACAAATAAGATGAAATGCTAATATAGTTTATAATTTTAATAAATATTTTACCGATTAAATCAAATTTTTCGGATGAACGTTTGTAGTTGCTCTGGTAAAAATCTTTTAATATCATGTATTCGATGTCGCTCAGAAAATCTCTATTTGAATAAAAAACAAAATATTTTTTAATTATCTTTCTAAAAGAACTTTAAGTTAAGTATTGTTAAACGACTCGTTTTGAGCCGATTTTTAAAAACGGCTAACTCAATATTTTAGCCAAAAAAATATTACCTCTCGTAATTTCCATAATATGTGTCTAGACCTTTGTTCCTTCTATGAACAAAATCTTCAGGCTTGCGTAATATTTTTCCGGGATAAAATATTGAGTTAAAACAACACTAGTTTAGTTCAAAATTGTCTCTCAAAAAAATATATGAATATAAGTTGGGGTAATAGCGTAGAAAAAAATTGTTCGGTTTATTCTACAGGCGTGTTAACCGAAAAAATATTTATTTGAAAGGTGAAAAGAAAGTTAATTAATTTTTTTTTTTTACTTTCTTCAAAATAATCAGATGATTTATGTTTTCGTTTTCGGGGCTAAAAAGCCGGATAAGATTGTTCCTTAATATCTGCGTAATTTTCTAACTATCGCCCTTAGTGTTGTTAAACGGCTAATTCTGAGCCGATTTTTTAAAACCGTTTACTCAATATTTTAGCCAGAAAAATATTGCCTTAAGGTTCAAGATTTCGATAATGTATTTCTGGACCTTTGTTACTTCTATGAGAAAAATCTTCAGGTTTGCGTAATATTTTTCCTGGGATAAAATATTGAGTTAGCCTTTTTAAAAAAATCGGCTCAAAACGAGCCGTTTAACAATACTAATTGTCTTATATCGACCAAATATTTACGATGAATAATATCCTTTTAAAAGGTTTAACTTATCTTAACAAAATATTAGTTTTTGAACTCATCTTTTCCGTATATCATTAAATTCTTTAAAATATATTATAATCTTACATAAAATTACTAGCTTATTTTTGTATTTTTTTTGGTTTCTTCGCTAAATATAAAAAAAAGGTCACATTTCTCTCTAAAAATTATTTTCGAAAAACATAGGGTTCACTCTCGTAACTAGTAGTTTAAAAGGCCCTATTTTTAAATAAGGGCTAATTCAATATTTCACAAGTATATTTACCTAAGTCTAGAGACTTCGTTAATAGATATCCTGACCTTTCTACAGTCAATGAGCAAAATCTCCAGGTTTGCGGGTAAATTATCCGGGTTTATAAAAATCGAACCATTTTAAACAACACTCCCTCTTAATATTGCCTTTTTTCCCCTCTTTCCTTTCTCTTTTATAATAATTGTAAACTTCTAATCTCCAAGCCTTAATTTTTTTTTAAAATGAAGAATAGGTTCTAAACAGATCCCCACGATAATGATTTGAAATTCCAACTACAGCAAAATTTATAAATAAGTTCTTGAGATGTATGTTGGGTCAACGTTTAAATCAAAAAAAAATTTCTCTTACTCACTTCTTCCCCCGATACCTCTAATCTAAAGGGCATAATCTGTTGCCAAATAGTCTAAAACCCGATTATCGGTTCCAAAGAAGTCTAAGGGTGTGTCCAAAATGAAAAAGAAATAAATGATTCTCGCATTTATACATTAAGGGTCCTAATTCGATTTCGTATATTTCAAAAAATAAATTTAAAATTTTTTAGGTCGCTTATAATCGTTTATATATTTTTTATTTTGAAAAGATCTTTAACTCGCGGTATAAAGTTCGTCTCTTTTTCAATTCCCAAGAATATATAAGAAGGACCACTTAATATTTAAGAAACGAAATAATTTATTTTACCCGGAAATGTATTTCTGGCATGGTGTTAGGAGAAGGTGTTGACTGACTCAATATTTTATCCAGAAAAATATTACGCAAGCCTTAAGATTTTGCTCATAAGGTGGCTTTCGAAGAATATCTATTAACGAAATCTCTAGAAGATCTGGCTGAAATATTGAGTTAGCAATCGAGCCAAGCATAACAACACTAGTGGTGAAGAAGTATGTTTCCTCTTTTTAAATTCAGAACTAGTCTTGTTAAACGGTTCGTTTTGAGCGGATTTATAAATACGGCTAACTCAATACTTCCAGAAAAATAGTACTCAAAGCCTGAAGATTTTGCTCATAGAAGGAACAAAGGTCTAGACATATATTTTCAAAATCTTGAGGCTTAGGCAATATTTTTCTGGCTAAAATATTGAGTTAGCCATTTTTAAAAATCGGCCTAAAACTAGCAGTTTAACAACACAATTCAGAACAATAATATATAATATTACAGTCCATCATGTTCCGATATTTTTTGGGGTTGGATACAAAGGGGTGTGAAACACATTTTTTTGGTGGAATTAAAAAATCGCTCAGTTAAATGAGACCTAAAAAGTGAGAAATTTTAAATTTCCCCACCATAAGTATAAGTATTTCCCGAATAAAATGATATTATAATAATGGCATATTATTTATTATACATTATATTATACATTATAATATATGTATTTTTATTTAATATACCCTTCTTTCATAGCTCTGCAGAAAACGTTGAAATTGGAATATATGGAACGTTCGTATATATTGATCAAAGATGACTAGAAATATATTTAAAAAAATATTTATCAGAGACCTGCAGGCCCGGACTCAACCCGCGTCGGGCAGTATTTTAATTTTTTTTAAAAAATACTCGGACCTGGCCGTATATTTTAAAAACCAATTATTTGAAATCGCAATTATTAGTATTATTAGTTATAAAAATTTTAAAAATAATTATAATACATTTTTAAAAAAGCCAGGTCGGGAGGGCCCTCAAAATATAAAACCAGAGCGGTCTAAAAAAATTTTTAAAAAAATTCGGGCCTGCTGGTCTCTGATATATATTATTTACCAAATTACAAGGCGTTTTGTTTATTAAAAATTTATTTTGTTTTTTTAAATACTTTTGATTTATAATAAATATAAACCGAATCGTCGTCATCCAGAAGATCTATAGACGATTTTTGTGCTACAAGTTGAAACGGAAACGCCCAACGCTTTTGATTACTGTAATATATTTCCTTTTCATCAAAAAAAAGGGGTAATTATGAAATTATTTTAAAATAAATGTATCAATTGTTATTTACCAAAAGATTATGCCCATAAAAGTTTGTCCATTTTGCGACAGGTTCTGGGTGACACTATATTATTTTAGTAATAATTATATGAATATGTTATCGCCAATGTGTTATTTATTTTTTTTTCCAACTTTAACTCATATATTGAGCGCATTTTTTAAAAATTTAAAAAAAATTATGATTTTACCGGAAATTTAATGGCCATCTTGTTTGGAATAACCTAACTTATAAAAATTCAGACAATTTTTTTCTATGAACTTTTAAACTTAATATAATTTATATTTAAATTTTCCAGAGTTGTTGAAAGATACTTTTTAAATGGATCTAGATACAGATACCACATTTTTGTATCTAGATACAGGATCTAGATCCTTTAACAACTCTGAAATTTTTCCATATATATTAATTATAAATGACTCCGAACAACAAAATTAATTCATAAGATAGGTATTCCAAACATGAGGCTCAAAATATAATTTTAAAGTTGTAAAAAATAAAGCATAGCTGGAAAAAAACCACATTTGACGTTAAAACGATATATTTTATAAATAATTTAATACATTTTCTATAAAAACTAATTTGTTTTGGTTAAGTAGTAACATTTCACTAGTGTTTGCTAAACGACCATTTTAAGAGCCGATTTTTATAAATGGCTATCTCAATATTTTATCCAGGAAAAATTATTAATAAGCAAAGCCTTAAGATTAAGCTCATATATGGTTTACAAAGGTTTTTAAAACAACAATCTATTAACAAAATTTCGAGGGTTAGGGTAAAATATGTGTTTTTCTGGCTAAAATATTTAACTTAAGCCCTTTTTAAAAATTAACCTAAATCGAGCCTTTTAACAACATAAATTGGTAACTAGTGTTGTTAAACGGCTCGTTTTGAGCCGATTTTTATGAACGGCTATCTCAATATTTTATCCAGGAAAAATTATTAATAAGCAAAGCCTTAAGATTAAGCTCATATATGGTTTACAAAGGTTTTTAAAACAACAATCTATTAACAAAATTTCGAGGGTTAGGGTAAAATATGTGTTTTTCTGGCTAAAATATTTAACTTAAGCCCTTTTTATATACGGCTAATTCAATAATTTGGCCAGGAAAATATTACCCAAGCCTCTAGATTTCGCTATTAGATGGCTATAATCTCTGATCATCTACGAGCAAAATATTCAGGCTTGCGTAATATTCATCTGGATAAAATATTGAGCTCGCCGTTTTTAAAAATCGACTCAATTGGAGCCGTTTAACAACATCAATGATAACATTTGGAATTCGATTTCAAAAAATTTATCTTAAAATTTGAAATAAAATTAAAACAAACCAAAAATTAATAATTAAGTTTTTTAAATTTCTAACAATAATCAAAATATGATAATAAATAATAATATAATATAATTTTACCGAGACATCTGGCAGATTTTGAAAATAACTGAGAATGGTCGACTTCCCTGAACCCATATTACCTTCAACTATAACCTGATCAACCAATCACCGTGAAGAAAAAGAAACAAAAAAAAAATTTTCATAAATAATTAACCAATCAAAATAAAACGAATAATATATATATAAATTTATTTTACATTCATTTTTTTTTATCCTCTCCTCTCCGTTATTTGAAATGAATTATTTCTTATTTTTTAAAGCGATATTTTTTTGAGTTTTTTTTTAAAAATTTAAAAGTTTAAAAAGAAAAATTAAGAATAAGAATTTGAATAAATTTTAGTAATTAATTATTAAAAAAAATTCAAATGTAACTGAATGTGAAACACCACAAAAATTATTTATATATATATATTAAATTATTTTAATTTTAAATAATTAAGAGTTTTTAAAATCATCTTTTTTGTCATATTTTGAAGGCAGGCAGGGAGAGGATATCCAACAAGAATCACGAGATAATGGTATAAGGATATCGAAGCTTTGCCAAACTTGAATTTGATACAGTTCCATAAATTTCGCGACTCTTTAATATTACATATGTTTCTTTAAAAAAAAAATTTTAAAAATTTTAATTTATTAAGGTAACTTAATTAAGAAATATTACGCATCTTTATCACGTGGAGATCTAATTTATGGCAGCTCCGTGTGTATGTGTTTTTTTTCAAAAAATTTTAAAAGCCTTTAATTTTATTAAATAAACCGTGTGCATTATTTTCTCGATTTCACTCTTTTTTTAAAAAAAATTTAAAATTTTTTTAAAATGAAGTTTTTTTAGAGATAATAAATGAAAATAAAATTTTATATAAAAACTACATTAAAATAAAATGATAATTAAACATTTAATTTGGTATGGCCGCTAGTCCCTTGGAAACCAAGGTCTACCTCTCGCCTGGGATTATACTTGCGTGGACCGTTTTGCCAGATCTTTTTCTTCCAACTCTATCACGAAAGCCGAAAACAACAAAAACAAACAAATATAGCTACCTTGATAATGTTTTGTTTGTTCCGGCAGTCTCAGATACCTGTGGATCATTTGGACCCCAAGCCCTAAAACTATTCAAAACAATAGGGCAAAGGTTACGCTTAATCACAGCTTTCGACAGAGAAATATCAACTGAAATCTTGCCGTTCTAACTGCATATCCATACATGGGTCATTAAGCCCCGTCGATCAATGAAAATAATAACACTTAAATAATTTTCTGTTGTAAATGTTAGAGTCAAGTGAAATGTATTTTTTTTTACAACTTTAAATCACATTATTGAGCGCGTATTTTTTTTTTATAAAAAAATTTAAAAATCTGATTTTAACCGGAAATATATTTCTTCATGTTTGGAATACCAACCCTATAAATTTCAGTCAATTTTGTAATGAACTTTATAACTTAAAAATTTAATTTATATTAAATTTTTTTTATATAAATCATAAATGACTGACTCAAAGGAGGTTATATAATTAAATCGAAAATATATCGTTGGTGAAGCAAATTTTTCGATAAGCTAAACTCATCATTTTTTTCTCTCTTTAAATCCAAGGTTTTAATATAGGCGAACGCTTTGGTAAAATAAATATCTTAAAAGGAGTGGTATAGTCTGGATCTAAGGTAGAGTTGTAACTTGTATTTTGTATCTTTTTTTTGACATTTTTTAATAATATACTTATATTTGTATCGAATATACTTTTTTCTATCTATATAAATATGACAAGAACACAGATATTACATTCTTAAGTTTTCATTTGAAAAAAAAAAATTCAATAGTCACATTTAATTTAAACATTTAAACATTTTTGTTTCGTGGATTTTTGCATTAATTTTTCTCTTTCTCTTATCTTTCTTTTCCTGTATCTTTATATTTATTCATTTATAATATTGTGACAAACCAACTTATTGTTTTATGCCAAATTGGCTAATTCAATTTTTCTCATTTCGTGTCGATATTTATGTTTAATCATTGTCATGGACGCTTTGACAGGCCTAAAATTTATTGTTTTTTTTGGAGGGAGGGGGGTAGAAGCCAAATTTACAATTAATATAAAAATTAAAATTAATTATTATACCAGATTTAAATAATTTATTTATTAAAATGATATAATTAATGGTTGCCTATAAAAACACAAAACATTAAAATAGATTTTTCGATTTCTTTATAATTTCAAAATGGTTTAAAATTTGTGACGATGAAGTTATAGAAGAGGAAGAACAAGTTCCTCTATAAATTTATATTGATTAGAAAAAACCAGGACGTTCTAGACCCGAGGTCAGGTTCAGGAAATTCGACACTCTATTTAGAGGAAATTTTGATAACAGGAACTTAATCGAAATCCAATTTTCTGAAAAAAAAGATCATAACCCGCTCCGATCCCATATTACCCCAGGTTAGATAGGTTGGTCCATATATCTGTCAATATTCCTTAATGTTTTCCAAAAAATTGAATCCCTGACCCAGACTAACTCATTTTTTTGCAGAAGGGTTCACATCCCTGATTAAAAAAATTTTTTTAAAAAAACTTTGCCTCAAATTCGAAATATAACAAAAATCTTCCTCCATTTTTTTTCTAGAGTAACGTGTCGCCGCCGCAAAATTTTGGTACAAACATCAGCACTGAAAATAAGTAAGCAACGCTAGATTTGGGGTCTGCAAAGACGCGTAGTTTTATAGGCGCATAGCAGCTTATTATATAATATAGTTTTTTTCTAAATTATGATTTTATTTTTAAAGATTTACACAGAAAATTCCCTAAAAGACAATCAAAGGTCTTTGGCATGCGGTAGAATGTCTGGAACACATTCTTATGATGAAAATTCAGAATTATCGCAAGAAGTTTTGAAAGAGTTCGTAATTTCAGATTAGCTAATTGCCGCAGTTTACCAATAGCGCCTCCAATTTTGTCATTTTTTACTGAATGTGGTCAAACGATTATGAGAATGAACTTTTTAAAATTTAGTAAAAGAAATGATATTTAGTATAGTATTTTTTTTTCACTTTTATAATGCTTACACCTTTCGATTAAATGAAGAAAATAATCTTACCCAGGCACATCCGATGTCCCTGTCGCACTTTATCCTGTCTACTAAAAAGATAATTTTTGTGGAATATCAAACTAAAAGAAAATTTGTAAATGATTCACTATTGAGTGTGGTGGGGGAAATGTGGAAATATACTAATGGAATGCAGGTGGAAAGATCTTCAAAAAATAAAGGAGGTAACAGTCGTTGAATGTTCCATCCATATTCAGGTGGAATGACCTATGCGATAGTATGAGTTCATTTCTCAAATAAAAAAATTGGGTAGTCCAACCAAGATATAAATATTACTTATTAATAAATAGTTTTGTAAAGTTTTAACCGTGGTTGCATTTCTTTCTTTCTTTCTTTCTTTCTTTCTTTCTTTCTTTCTTTCTTTCTTTCTTTCTTTCTTTCTTTCTTTCTTTCATTCATTAGACAAATTGCACAGTTTTAAGTTACTTATTCCGGGTGTTATATATAATAAAGATTAACTTGGGTAAATTTAACATATTTAACAATTTTTTTCGTTTATTTAGAAATTAACATTTAAATATATATAAAAAAAAAAATTTTTTTTCTTTTAAATCTAAAAATAAAGAAGCGCTATATGACAAGCAAAGGCGAAAGGATAATAGTTACCCCGATTGTTTTACATAATTCTTAAATTTTTTTTTTCTTAAATATTAATTTTTACCGTAGAGATAGATATAGATACATGTAAAGAATTAAACTAAGTTTTATACATTTTGGAAAAATTTTGCTGCCCTATTTTTTTTTATAGCACTTTCAATTTTTTATGGACAATTATAACCCCGGTCTACATTGTTTCTTTTTTTGCTAGTACACAATCAAATTTTTAAGACACATATTTTTATTTTATTTCTTCAAATCACAAAGTAGATAATTTTATTTATAAAATAATAAAATGATAATAACTAATTTAAACGTCATTTAGATATGGGACTTTTATGGCTCTTGGTATTTTTATGGACATCAAGTTTCTACCGTCAAAATGTGAATGAATCACTTTTATATCAACCCCCCCCCCTCTATAAAGCGTTACAAATTTAGAAATAAGATACTTTTCTTAAAGTTATATAAATAAGTTAGTAATTATTTAGTATTTTTTTATCTGATATTATTATACTATAATGGGTTTTTTTTAAAAAAATAATTTAATATAAGTATATTATTCTTATAAATTAAACTAATTAATATAAAATGAAAATAATGTTTTACGAACGAGCGAATTTTTTTTAAAAAATATATATTCTTCTTGTTAATTTTTTATAGACCTTTATTAATATCGTCAAAGAAATATAATAATAAAATAATTAAGTTAAACAATAATAATATTTCTACTAATAATGCCCATTTCTAATTAAAAACGATTATAGCGATAATCGATTGGGTAAAAATTATTTTTGAACCCATTGAGAGTGAAGATCTTGAGCTAAAATTTGCAATTGATTTTTGTTGATATTCGCGTCGACAATCTTAAATTATAATAACGAGAAAAAAAATGGAAGTCTTAAAAATGTCAAAAGGAGTATATATATAAATATTTTTTTCATGGCTTTTATATTAAAGATAGTTGTTAGAACTAGGCTCAGACAATTTTTAAGTCTAGTTTAATTCTATCGCTATCCCTCTGAGACTTAGGAAATTTGGTAGAAAATTTCCAATGACAGCTAACTACTCTACCAGAAATTATGACGAGGGAAAAAACCAACTCGAATAAGGCAGCGAATTAATTTGAACATTATTGTTATTAAATAATATTTGAATATTTCTCTATTTGATAACAATTAATCAAATAAAATTTTTTTAAAAAAGTAGTTTTTTTAAATACTGATACGTTTTATAAAACGCGGCGCCTATATCCCTGAAAAAGAAATACATAGAAACTCGGCATAATAACTAGCATCTAGAAAAATAATGCAAGCATGAGTTCGGATTATTTCACTTAAAAACCTTAAGACATGATTACATAACTTCCCTTATATATTTTAATATTCTTGTAAAAACTACGAAAAAGTTATTAAATCGCAGCCATTTTACATTAAATTAATGCATCACTTATATCTATCTCTATTTTTAATACATGTGTAATTTAAAACTTTCAATTATTTAATCTTATTATATTAAGGATATTTAAATTGGTTAAATGTATATGATTAAAAATTGTTAGGCTGTGTTCTAGGTGAGCTTAATTTGGTACTTTTTTAGTATAAGCTAAAAAGTTTTTGAAAGATTATACCATATTTTGGCTTGTTTTAAGTATGGTGGTATTGTTATTTTTTAGTATTTTATTCTCTCCTTTTTTGGATGTTTTTTTCGTTTTTTATTAGTTGTTTTTTTAAAAAAAGATTGAATTTGTTTATAGAAGATATAACTTACCAATATTGGAATGTCAAACCCTGGAACCGTACGGTCATATAACCATTCTTCGTAATATTTGTGTAAATCGTATATAAATTCCTATTCACGTAAAAAATGTTTAGAAAATATAAACATAATAATAAAAAGGTTTTATATGGAATAATAAATGGTTTTCATTAGACAATTTTCATCGAAACTTTTTTGGAGGTTGCTTAAAGTGATTAATAAAAAAAAATAAATCTTTTATTTCTCGTTAATAAAATTGATTGTCCAATAATCAATTATAGTTTGAGATAACTCCATAAGCTCACTCAAGGGGCAGTAATTTTTTTTTGGTTGACATAATGATGAGATAAATAATAAAAGATTATTTTGATAAACATTTCATAATAGGATATTAGTAGGGAAAGACACCCGAAGAGCCTTATTCTTTCAATCTTGTCGGGTCTAAACCACGGATCTGAACCCGGGTCTGGTCTCCGGACAAAATTGGGTCGTAAATTTTACGTTCAAGCAAATTAACCAACATTACTTGTTGGTGAAGAAAATAATTTAATTTTTCGATAACCGAAATATATTGATTTTGTTTATGTGAACTTTTTTAACACATTTTTCTTCCGGTCTCGCTCGTTGCGTCATTCTTTGATAGCAAATTTCTGGATCCAATCTTAAATATACTTTTGATATGGATATATAAATAATGATTATTATTAAGAAGATAAAAAGGTTTAGGTCTGTATCATGTAGGTAATAGGAAAAAAAACCCCTGGAAAAAAATTCCCAGGAGAAAAAACCGCCAAAAAAACCCCGAGGAAAAAAAATTTAAAAAAAAAGAAAAGCGTTATTTTTTTAAAAAAATTTTCATGCCAATTTTTCTTAAATTTTTTTTCTCAATTTATTATTTTCTTCCAATTTTTGCTTTAAGTCATTGTTAATCTTTATTTTTCTAACCTTTTCTCAATTTTTTTCTTCTCAATTTTCTCTTAATTTTTTTAGTATAACCTAGCAATAATTAATATTGATAAATAATTTTATAAGCGAATGCCACAATCATTAACAGCTTTTAGACTCCCAAAAAAAAACACAAAATATTTACGAAAAAATATTCGAAGTAATAATGTCTAAATGTCAAGAACTGGATTTATTTCCTGATCCATTATATATATACATGGATTTCGAAAAGTCTGCTATGAGCGCGGTTAAAACTGTCATTGGTATCTTTATGTTAAATTATTTATATTTATTTTTCCAATTTGGGGATCACATCATAATCAGAGGATGCTTTTACCATTTATGTCAAAGTACCCATATAAAAATTTAAAAGCTAGTTCTGGAAAGCCAATACAGAATCCTTGAAGCTCTAAGCTTCTTTTGTGGCATGATGGACAGCTTAGCATTTGTTCCATTATGTGATATGGGCAATGCAATGGCTTTCCTTAGATCGGTTACTCCGAGATGGTAAGGATATTCTTGAATATTTCGATAAAAATTACATCAATGGAGTATCAAGGGAGGTCACAAGAGGCAATTCTCAATCCTAGACAGGTCGAATTGGGCCTCGATTTTCTCCAGAAACTTGAATCAGAGCACTCTTTCCAACGAATAACTCATAAATAATCAATGCGAAGGTTCGAATCATCGTTTTTCTAATCTGGTTGGAAGTAAACACCCATCAATCTGGGTATTGATTTTAAAATGAAATGCGAGGTGGCTGCCGATGAAACCATATTTGAACGATGGCGTGTAGGTAATTAGACACAACAAAATCGCATTGCTTAAACAACAAAAATTGCTGATATTCTAAATGGTACTGGGGAAAAAAATATCCCATTAAAATTACCAATGTATTACTTATTTTCGTAAAAATTTTTGCTATAGTAATAAATACAATATCCATCCTTAATTACTATATTAAGTAGACTAAATTTGACAAAATTTGCAATAAGATCTGTTTATTTTTTTGATAAATCATTATTATGTATATAATTTATTATTAAATTATATTTTCATAATATTTTTTTTTAAAATACTAATTTGTCTCTATACCTTATATAAATCCAATTAAAAATTTACCGATATTTTATTCTCGGTTTATTTTGTTTCTTTTCTTTTCGTTTTTTTTTTGATTTATTCGTTTTTTTTTAAAACTTATTTTATCTTTTGCCTTTTTGGTTATTTAAGTAAAAATAAGTCGATCCTAGGACACGGCTTATTATGTTCTCAGTTCTAATTGTTATAATTCCTAATGATGTTACAGCTCGAGTTTGGATACAAGTTTCTAGCTAAGTGTCCACATGCTTATACTTTTCGTTGCCAGGGGCCAAAATTATTTGAGCGGCCTGGCCCGGCCCAGTTAAAGATGTAGTTTACCTAAAATTTATATGGATATTTTATTCAAAATTATACTATATTTAATAAACAAGATCCTCTAATAAAATATATATCCTGAGTTATTATATTATAAATGGGTTGTTTCGCAAACATGCGTAATTATAAAAATTTCACTATTATATTTAAATGACTAGACTAGAGGCTGTTTTATTTTTTTTTGTTTTGTGAAGGATAATATAATATCTGCCGCAATCTATAGAAGTAGCAATATCATTTTTCAGTGGAAATTATGTAGGAACCTAGCATAGCCATAGTAATATTGGATCTCTTGTTAGGTATTGATTAATTTATTGATATAAAAGCTACGCCCACAAAGATGCCACCGTGATCGAAATTGCATTAAAAAAAAATTCTTAGGAAAATTAATATATTAGAAAGGGCTCTAGCTAGTTCGATAACCATTTTTTAATATATATTTTTTAAATTATGTGATTATTTTGGAATTGAAAATAAAATGAAATTTACTATAAAATAAGTAGAATATTTAGATTTAATCCAAAAAAAAATTAATACTTATTTATTGCGAATATTGAAACATTATATAAATAAAGAAATTTTACCGATTAAATCGAATTTTCCGGACAAATGTTTGCAGTGAAGCTCGTAAAATTGTGTTAGTATCGTGTATTCGATATCGTTCAGGAAGTTACTATATAAATAATTAAAATCGTATAACAATAGTTTGTTTTTAATTATCTTTTCTTAGAAAGAAAAAATAATCTTTGGCTAAAAAATATATAATTGTCTGGCTCGGTTTATTCTATAGGCAGGTGCTGGAGAAAATCCGATAAGCATTGTGGCATGAGAGCTAATTTATGCCTTTCATTCAAAGTTGATTCTATATTATCAAAAAAAATTTTTTGGCTAAAAAAATATGAATATCATGCTAAAATTATGGCCATTGGCTAGGTAATTTTTTCCCAACAATATTCCTACTAAATATTTCTTAACAAATTATATAATTTTAAGCGGGGATTCTAACCAAACCCGGAGATGAAAACACGGGTTTTTGGAACAAAATATGAACCCGAACCGAACCTTGGCAAAAATTTTGCCTGGTTCGCATCCCTGATGAGTTTACATTTTTTTTACAAGAATTTTAAACCCATTTTTACATATATAATTAAAAAAAAATTTTAAATTTTATAATTTCCCCGCCAAATTTTAGTTATTTTTTTATTTTTACTCCTGTAAATATAAATGGGTCACATTTCTCCCCTAAAAAAAATGTATTTTCTATAAACATTAAGGTATATTATTCCTCTTAAATAGTGTTGTTAAACGGCTCGTTTTCAGCCGATTTATAAAGAACGACTAACTCAATATTTTATCCAGAAAAAATATTAAGCGAGCCTGAAAATTTTGTTCCTAGAAGGGACAAAGGTATAGGCCTGTATTAGTAAAATTTTGAGGTTTAAGGCTATAATTTTTTTTAGCTAAAGTATTGAGTTAGGGTATTTCTTAAAAATCGGCTCAAAAAGAGTCGTTTGACTAACATTGCTTCTTCACACTAACTACCCAAAGTTAATATCCGATGATTTGCACGGAAGTCAAAAAAAAAATATGATTTGAAATTCTAAACTATTAGCGACATTTAAAAAATTCGTTTTTTTTTAAAAAAAAAAATAGCGTTATTTTTGGTGAATATGGCGGCAACCATAAATAAATATTTCGTTGCTCTTAGACTCTCATAATTCTAGTCTAAAAAGGGTAAAAGGAAAAGTGTATCTAACAATATTTTTAAAAATGATTATTACGTTACGGAGAAGCGTAATATAAAGACTTTTATTTTTAAAATGATAAATAGTTGGTGGTGTTAAATGACTTGTTTTGAGCGCTAATTCAATATTTTAGCCAGAAAAATATTGCCTACTCGAGATTTCTATATTATATGTCTAGACCTGTGTTCCTTCTATGAGCAAAGTCTTCAGGCATGCATAATATTTTTTTATGGATGAAATATTGAGTTAGCCGTTTTTAAAAATCGACTCAAAACGAGCCATTTAACACTATAAAATAGTTCGATTGTTTATTTTTTTTTTTTGGAAAGATTTTAACTTTTTTCTGGAATAATGGCCTTAGTGTTTTTTTTTAAACTGTTACATTTTTAAAAATGTCTAGCTCAATATTTTAGGATTTTGTTTAATAAATTGTCCAAACTTTTTTGCCATAGGCTTGATAATATTTTCTGGCTAAGGCCGAATTCATAGTGGGATCGGATCCGACAAAATTTAACAGCTGATCGATTTTTAAATCGGTTTATGAGAATCAATTTTTCTTTATTAAAACCAATATCGTGTATAAAATTAAAGATAAAATTAAATTATTAAAAATCGATTCTCATAAACCGATTTAAAAATCGATCAGCTGTTAAATTTTGTCGTATCCGATCCCACCATGAATTCGGCCTAAAACATTGGGTCAATTTATGAAAAAATTGAGAATGAAACCTCTAACTTGAACCTGAACTTAATATTGGAACGAATTCTCTAGGATATGACAGAGCCATTTTGGAATTGCAGAAAAGCAAGGTGATTTAACAACACTATATCCCCCCCCCTCCATGAATTTCAGAAAACAATATTTAATACAAAGAGTGGATGACCCAAAATTGTACGATATTTGAAGGGTTAGATATAGTGACATTAAAAGGCCCAATATCAGTCAATTTCTTAAAAAAAGGATCTGATTTTTATTTCCGCCTCCCAAAATAATATATAAAAACCCGGAGATTTTGTTCACAGATGGTATATAGGTTTGGACCTACAATATGCCGAATCTTGAGGCTTACAAATAATATTATTTTTGGAGAAAATCTTCACCTATCCCATACTGAAACCCATTTCCGGGGAAAACCACCATTTTTCGAATTTTAAAAAATCGCTCGGTATAAAATTACTTAAAAATAATTGAGATTTTTTAATTCTCCCGTAATTATTTCGAATCGAACTAACTATATGATGGAAACACATGGTTTTAGCTAAGATTGCGAAAACTAATTTATTAAAATTTAAAAAAAGAAGATTTTTACATTATGACGCAACATATCTAAATTTTAAAGTTTATATAGAATTAATTCAATGACATATATAATAACTAGACTGACGTTTCAATCATTAAAATGCATTTTTAGGCGTCGTTAAAAGCAAATCAGCTGGATCCGTCATTTTGGTAACGCATATAGTAATTATTCTGGTGGTAAAAACTACCATTAAATTGATAACTTGATTACTTGTTATCTCGATGATCCGGTAATTCTTTAATAAAGTTTGCATCAGATATAGGAATAAATTAGACTCTAGTTTAAAATTTTAATAATGATTAGTTGTAACCAAGATGGCGTCTCCAGCTGATTTGCATTGTTGTACACTTTCAATGAATGAATCGTCAGTCTTCTATGTATTATAAAATAATATAAATTTGAATATAAAGTTAAGTACAATTTGCTATATATTTTTTATAAAAGGTTATGTAGAAATCGAGATATATTTTATAAGAGGTCACTCAAAACATTATAATTATTTTAATATTATTTTAATTAATATTCTAATTTTTAATTTTATTTAAATTAATCTATATATTTTATTTTACATTTCATTTCACGTCTACAACACTATACATAATAAAAATATAGCATATATTCTAATTTATACCTTTCCTTCATAGCTTTGCCAAAAACGTTGAAACTGGCATATAGGGAGCGTTCGTATATTTTGATTGGCTAGAAATTTTAAAAAAGAAAAAAAAATCATATAAATTACTTTTTGCTTTTTACGAAACCTACAAAAAAATAAATAAAATGGCCCTATAATCATTCATCCCCTTAATTATTTTTTGTAGTTGTTGTTATGGTAGTATCTGTCAATTTGTAATTGACATTTATGGACGTTTTGTCAATTGTATTTTCGAGAAGATTATTATGGTTTTTTAAATCATTATTCGAAATCACGTGATTTATTTTCTTTATATTTTAGATTTGGATGGATATCGATATGGGTACATTAATATATATAATTTCTAACAAGGTTTATTTGAAATATTGGGATTATATGACATTTATAAATTATTAGGGATGAATTAGACAGTTATATTAAATGTATATCATAATCAACCAAATCTTTGTCATCATCATAAAGATCTAGAAAAGTCTTTTGCACCATAACTTGGAACGGAAATGACCATCGATTTTGATCCCGGTAATACAATTCCTAACAAAAAGGGAACATTAAAAAATTATTATAAGATCTAAGCTTTTTTTTAAAATATAATATATTATGATAAACAAGAAATATTGGTTTACCAACATATTATGCCCGTAATAATTGGACCATTTATTGACAGGTTCGTGGTGACACTATATTATTTTAGTTAATTTATGAAATATTTCGATAAATATGAGGAATTAATAATTTCTTTCTTTTTTTCTTTCTTTCTTTCTTTCTTTCTTTCTTTCTTTCTTTCTTTCTTTCTTTCTTTCTTTCTTTCTTTCTTTCTTTCTTTCTTTCTTTCTTTCTTTCTTTCTTTCTTTCTTTCTTTCTTTCTTTCTTTCTTTCTTTCTTTCTTTCTTTCTTTCTTTCTTTCTTTCTTTCTTTCTTTTATTGTCCAAGTATAATCTTCCTTTTTTTTAAAGGGGCCATAGAAAGGATAGTATATTGTTAGATTTTATTACATAAAAAACTATTCAATACATAGGTATTGTAATCTTATATATTTTTCATTCTTTCAGAAACTTCGATGAGTGAAACGAAATTTAATTTTTGATTGACGGGTACATAATGTTCAGGACTAGCTATGGCGTCTTTTTATTTCTACAATGGTGGTCGTTACCTCCCTTATCAAAAATGATCCGGAAATTTTCAAAACTTTATTGATAAAGACGAAATAGTATATATATTTTTTTTTCCAATAAAAATTTTAAAAAAGCAACCAAAACATATATTTACCTTTAAAAATTTTGCGAAATTTTCGAATATTTAAAAATTTAGGCCACCATCAAAGTTATAGAACTTTCGAAACATGTTTCGGACGCGGCCTAAACCATAATTTTTCGCTCTTCAAATACATTCTCCTATTTGAAGTGGTAAATTCTTTAAAAAATCACTTAACGTAATTTTTATTTTAGATATAATCTCCGTTAGCTCTATTGATATTAAATCGCTCCATTCTAACTTAATATCTTTAGCCAGGAAAATATTGTCTAAGCCTCAAGATTTGGCTTAGAAAATGTTCGAACCTTTGTGCCATCTGTGACCAAAATCTTCGGACTTGCCTAATACTTTTTTTCCTGACTAAAATATTGAGTTAAGACCGCTTTTAAAAATCGGCCTCAAATGGATAGATTTTACATAAACTAGTTAGCTAAAGTGTTGATAGTTAGGGGAGTTTCCTGAAAATTTAGCAACCCTGAAAAGAGCCCACAGGTTGATAAAAAAAAACTAGCCATTCTAACGATGTAAATATCATTATCGCGTTCGCGATAAATTTTTTCAAGATGGAATCGGAAAAAATATAAACAAGCAGTGTAATTTAATGTATAATGCATAAATAACAAAAATTTGTGAAGTGATTCGGAATTATAAATTGTTTCGAAAAATCTTCGTTAAACAAAATTTTATCTTCGACTTGGCGCGTACCCCCCCCCCCCCGCCTCCCGATAGATGATTTTTTAAATTGAAAAAAATTCCGAAATTTCATATGAAGCGTTCCGGATAAGAACTATCATAAAATTATTACAATATAATAGTGTTGTCAAACAGCTGGTTGCCGATTTTTAAAAAAGGCTAACTCAATATTTTATCCAGAAAAATGTCTAAGCCTCGAGATTTCAATGATACATGTCTTGACTTTTGTTCCTTCTATGAACAAAATCTTCAGACTTGCGTAATGTTTTTCTGGATGAAATATTGAGTTAGCCGTTTTTAAAAATCGGCTCAAAGCCATTTAACAACACTACAATATAATAATATAATTTACCGAGACATCTGGAAACTTTTGAAAATACGAAAGAATAGTCGACTTCCCTACACCTCCATTGCCTTCAACTATAACCTGAAAAAACAAATCATCCCAGAAAGAAGGGGAAAAAGAATTTATATAATCATTTTAATTTAAAAATTTTGTTCAAAAAGATCAAAAATTAATTAATTTCACCAACTTTCGCAATTTTAATGAAAATAAAATAAATAATCTATTTTATAAATAAACACAAAAACATGTCCAAATCATAATGCTATAAATTTTAAAAATTTGCAAAAGTTTTGAAAATTTTGAATTGAATTTTTTTTTTTTTAAAAAAGAGAGATTTTTGGACATATCCTATAAGCCATAGATACTCAAAATTGCGAATATATAATAATTACGTTCATTTTTTTCCTTCCCTTCTGATTTTCTTCTCTTTTTGAATGAATCATTTAATCTAACGAATTTTTTTTTGTATGGAGTTTAATAAATAGTAATTATTGAAAATTAAACGACTGTTTAAAACCGAAAAAAAAACCATCCTTTTTCATAACACTATATTATTAAATTAGTTTTATTATTTTATTTTTAAATAAAATTATTAATTTAATAATCGACTTTTAAATTATTTTTTATTTTTTAAATATAAAAGATACTGATATAAATTATCAAAAGAATCATGAGATAATAGCATAATGGATAATATTAAGGCTTTGCCAAGTTGAGGAAAAGTTTACATAAATACGCGAATCTTTTATACATATGCCTTTATAAATTTAAAATTGAAAAGGTAAATTTCTAGATATGCATCGTTATACCACGAAATTTATAGATTTTTTTAGACATGTATATACCAAAAAATTTTTTTAAGGCCTTTGTGATAAAGCGTCCATATTTTTCCGATTTCAATTTTTTTTAATCTCATTTACCATTATAATATAAATTTATTTAATCAAATATAATATAAGTTAACACAAAAAATTATATATGGAAAAATAAATAATATAAAAGTGAAATAATATAGTGTAAAATGATAAGAATAAGGAAGAAAAAGTATATCTAGCGAAGGTCAGTTGAGAGAAGGCTGCCATTGAAACTTCGATAATTCTCTTTAAGGATAGCTATGACCAGTCTCTGTCTGAGGAAGATGCCTTCTCGCGGATCGCCAGTATGCTTGCGGATGTGAGATCCTAAATTCTTGAAGAAGGATAATGCAAGCTTTCCAAAGGTGGCTAATAGGTGTTTAATGTGATTTTCAGATATTTCCGAATATTTGAAAATTTTATATTGTTCTTTTTGCTCAAGTGGGTTTTGGAGTTTGGTTAGATAAAGCTAATGGATCTACACAAGAATAGTCCCAAACCAGAGATTGATCCCGTTTCCATGGGATCAAAGTGATTCCATCAGGCCGCTTTCCATCGGATCTAATCCTGGTGGTTCAAGAATTTGGGCGGACTTTAATGCTCACTAGGTCAAGGAATTACATTGGGTGTGCCTGAAAATTCGTCTTTTAAACGATCAGCATTGTAAACCGTGTCTTCCTTTGCAGTCTATGGGTATTCTGCAGACAGAGCAAAAGTGAGGAAAGGTTATTGTAGAATTCAGACGGATTCCTATTGCGTGGGGTAAGCTCTGTTAGTTAATTGGAGTTGAAGATTTTTGGAAGGAATGAATTCCAAAAATTAATGCCCGAATCCAATAAGTAAAGAAGTGAAAGGAGAGAACGATCTGTTGGGCCTGGAAGCATGCCAGATAATTGGGCTTCAACGCAGCATGCTACAACTGGCTACACGTGTCTTCCATAGCAGGATAGCATCATCTAAGGAAAAGTCATTTTGTGAGGTGTGGTACGTAATTGTGGGTTTCGAGTAGACTGCTCGAAATAAAGGAAGTGAGAGCAAGATCGGTGGGAGATCTGAAATCCCCAAACTTATAAATTAATTATTTAGTAGAAATAAAGCAATGAATAGAGTTAAATCACATGATCTAATGCATCTTATTTAATATGCCGTATAAATGTAGGTGGCCCAGAGTTGAACAGTCTCGCAAACGCATTTTTCTGAGATATACACAGCCATGGTAAGTTATTCGCGAAGAGAGGGGAGGGAAAGAATAGTCGGTTTTTTCCCTTATAAATTTTATTGGATATTTTTAGATCCTACTTATTGTAGGCCTTTGCCTATAATTAGAATTTTATAAAAAATTAATATATTGGTTTTTTTTTCACTTCTTTTTTTTCTAAAAATTTTGAATTATAGTTTACTAAATTTTTCTTTCATATTCTTATTTATAGTGATGATAAATTATGAAACAAGAGGGGGGTTGGTCTTGAACTATTATGTGGTTTGGTCGATATCCGAATGAGAATAATTTAATCTTTAATTTTCTTGCAACTTCGGATATTATATCATGTATACATAATCTAGTATATATATATATATACTTGGTCAAATAATTTAATCGGTAATATGTTAAATTAACGCCTTAGACAATGATATACATAAACATTAAATTTTAAATTGAAATAAAATAAAATATTATTTATAATATAATAACAAAGTCCAATTACAATCTAACATAACGCCTTAAACGTTAAAATATAAACAATCTATTATTTAATATATTATATATATTTTTTTTTGGGGGGGGGTGAGCTTAAAAGGGCATTACAATCCTGAAGAAAAAGGGAACTATCCCTTACCCCTTTCTTCACCACCCTCTACGCCTAATGCTAAGAAGATCCTTTTTATCCCTCAATGACAAAAGAGACAGATATTTTATCAATTGTAACTTTAAACATTTGACATTTTTCGTGGATTTTAGTTAATCAGTGTAAACATTTTTATCATTTTATAATCTGATATACCAAAATTATTGTTGTAGGCAAATTAAGATAATTCAATTTTTTTTTTAATATAAATATTTATGTTAAACATTTTGGCAGGAGCCACTATGATTAATTTAAAAATCATTTGAGGAATTAATAAAAAGAGAGGCTTAACCATCAAAATTCCACCTTGTGCAAAAGTTTCCCCCAAAAAGCTCAACAATTCGAAAAATGAAGTTCCATTAGGAATTGTTAGGATGACCGTAGATAGTCTCAACTAAATTTTTCCGGATATAATTCATTCCCGCAACATAGAAATTTCGGGAAAAATTAAAGCATATAATATTTTCAGATTTAGTTGTTCAAACAAATAATTTATGACAGTTGAATCCCAATACATTATTGCTTACGAAAAGTAAATCTGCTTTGGACGTGGACGCAAGGATTAAAAGTCTTCGCTTCCCGGCACTAACAGGTTAAAAATTCGGCCAGGGCCGGATAAATTGTGCAAAATATCTTTAATATAATAAATAAGTATAAATTTATAAATATGACGCGTTATATGATGATATCGCTATGATAAAATTTGAAAAACATATGTTGCTATGCGTTGTAAATAATATTAGCGAATTCGATAGAAAAGGTATATATGAATTTTCTTAAATATTATATAAAATAATTATCACTATTTTAGCTTTGCAATCAATTGAAATAACACATCGCTTGAAGATAACGCGTATACTATCCCGCTTAAATTTCGTTTCCCATTTCTCAAAGTTTTGTATACTATAAATTGTCAAATTGAATAAACTATATGAAAGACCGTTAAAACATACATTTATTAACATGATAAAATAGAATGAAGCCCTTGTATGAAACTATCGGTGAAGGATGGGATATGGAAGATAGTGATCTGCATCGGGCCTAATTTTTCAAGCCCGGCCCGGTTTTTTAAAAGTTTTGCCGGCCCGGCCCGAACCCGAAATTTCTTTAAAGAAAATTTACCTTTATAATTACTCAAAATAAAAGGCATATGTTATATGGCGTCTAGTTCTATAAATAAAATAAAATATTTTTATTTTACATAAAAAAATTCAATATAAAATTGATAAATTTAAATATATATTTAAAAAAATTTACAAGGCCCGGCCCGACCCGGCCATTTTATTTAAAAATATTAGGCCCGACCCCGCCAGAACCGGGTACGGGCCGGACCTACTTTTGCAGATCTCTAGGAAAGTTAAATTTACTGGGTTTAAAATGATCTAAATAAAGACTAGAAATTTTTTTTTAGATATAACATATAATATAATGTCACTAGTTGAATCATTAATTAAACTGTTAATAAAATATGCTTTTAAAAAAAGAATAAAAAAATAATTAAAAAAATAGTGTTATGCTTTAATATTTTATACAACCCAAATATTTAATGCTTTCTAATTTAAAATAATTACACCATTTATTATAAAAATATTAAAAACTAATTAAATTTTGTAAAGAGAGTTAAGGAAGAGTATTTTGTATTTTCCTGAGAATTTCAAAATTGAATCAATTTCAAATTATAAAATAAAGTTTTTTAATTTCGATTACGACCATATCACGTTGAAAACACCGGTTCCCTTTCGAACACCGAAGTTAAGCAACGTTGAGCCTGGTTAGTACTTGGATGGGTGACCGCCTGGGAATCCCAGGTGTCGTAATCTTTTTTGATTATTAATAGATATTCTTTTTAATTTTATTTGATATTTATAAAGGAAACGCAGATATTTTTTTATTATTAAGCAGAGATGAGAAAAGCAAACCAATAGAAGTAGAACTTATTTTCATCAACACATCCAGGAGTATTCGGTGTCAACATAAACTCATCAGAATTTTTAGCAGTAAAAGAAATCCCAAAGAGGTAATCTTTGTCCGTCGAATACCCTTTCAAATTATTTCCAAGCATTCACTCTTTCCAAAGTTGTCAAAAATTCGGGATCAAATTATCGATGATCCTGGATTCGATCTTAATATTGGAAATTTATCCGGATTTTAAATTGAGAATCATGATATAGATCATTTTGTTTAATATCCAATCCTTCCATCCTTTTAAAAATTTATGAAAAAATAAAATAAATTATTTTAAGGTTTTTATTAGTGACTATTATAGATCTAGAAAATAATATACATACAGTTATTGATGTGACAGATATAAATGAGAACATTTTCTCCTTTCCTCAGCACCGTATGATAAAGGTTAATTATCATTTCTTAATATAGATTTACTTATTAGCAGGAATAATTCACCCAAAATTTGAACTTAATTGGCCTTATATACCGCTAAAGCTCTTGATATAAGAAAGCTTATTTATCCATTAGAAAAACCATACAGGATCACCGCATACAGATGCTCATTCAAATTATTGTAGGGATTAAATTGACGCTCTCTTTGGGAGAAATTATTTGCAAAAATGCGTTTTTATTTTTCCTATTTTATTCAAATGGTGATTTATTTATTCAATATTTAATTAATATTGATATAAATTTTAAAAAAATATTTATTTATTGAATATAACACACCTTTGCCAGCAAGCGCTGTGGAGTGCTTGCTTAGTAAATCAAAGCTAACATGTTCTTAGTAAAATCCGTTAGACGTTTAAATGAAAATATTTTTCAAAATTTTTTTATTATTAATATTAATTAGTTAATTTCGCATCAAGCATGAATTTCCTTCATAAATTGATTTTTTA